ATCCTCGAGCGCTGCCGCTGCTCGTCCGCGACCGCTTATTCGGTAGGCCGAGGCCCACCTTATTCACGGTTGTCAATCAATAAAGATAAGCAAGTCTTAAACTCAGCCTTTGGGATGCCAGCTTTAATGGCCGCTTTTATTTATTTATTTTTCATCTGATTCACTTCTCTAGTGATTTTCGCTATACTTCGCAAATCACAGATGACTTTGTTCGCTTTACTTTGAGCCATGGGTGTTAAGCTTACCGTATGTTTTCTTTGTTTTATTACACGAAGTGAATGCAGTAAAAGGGATAAACCCCATAATCCGAAGATATGCTGTAAGTGGGGAGGTATGGGGAACCTTCAAGCTAGAATCAGCTTGTTGATTCTGTGTTTAAAAACATGGATGTTGTACGTTGGAGGGAAGACCGAAAGGGGGAGAGTGTTTCACAGTTGTACTGTTCTTGGGACAAAAGATGATTGCAATTTAGAAGTGCGACACCTGGGGATAGTCACTTGAAATGGGTGGCTAGCCGCTTGTGCACTGGATTTACGAGGACGATCAAGTGAGAGAGGGCCAGATGCAAAAAGTTCATCAGAGCAAAACCCAAAGTAGTATCGATAGGACAAGAATAATGAAGCGACTGCCCGACGACGAGCTAGTGACTACAAGTTGGATGTTAGGAACGGTTCGTTGATGAGACGGATGGCCTTACGTTAAACCCGATCAAGAAGAAATAGTATGGTAAATAAAACTCTACCCCACACATGACTGCAGTATTCAAGTGTAGGGCGAATCTGAGCCTTGTCAAGCAAGAGCCGGCAAATGGGAGTGAAGTAACGTCTGGTGCGAAGAGGAAATCAATTTTGCGCGCAGCGCGGGAAACAAGTAGATAAATATAAGGTGACCATGAAAGAGAACAAGGTAAGGAAAAACCAATATGTTGTATGATTCTGTGGAACGGAGTATTCGAGTTGAAATTCAAGGAAGGAGAGAAAGATGTGTGTTTAAGAGAAATGGACATAAAGGAAGTTTTACTGGCATTGTACAGAACACGGTTGCTACAGCCCCAAGCGGAGATAAGGCCCAGATCAGAATTTAGGGAAAAACTAAGGGAGGAGCGGTCGTCCTTAATGCTGGAGTTATGTTGTGTCCGGATCTCGTTTGATCGCAATATACACACAACAAGATATCACACGATGACACACGAGGAACACGTACCTCAACGGCCAAACTATTCGTCTAGCCTCACGAGTTCGATCACAGCACAGATTGGACGCCACGAGCACTAGTAGCCTTCTCCCAGCTACGTAAGCAAGAACACAGTTCGTGCACAGCGAACGTGTATTCGACACACAGGAAAGCAAGTCAATTTACAAGTTTTAATCTGATGCTTATATGGGTCCCAAAATAGCATCGATTAAATGCAATAAAAGATTATGCCAATCAAGTACAGTTAGCAAAGTTCGATCGATCATAAGTCACGGAGTTAGCGAATTTCAATCGACCACGAATCGGACGGACGGAGTGAATGTCTCCGTATGACGCGATATGATTGATTATTCTCCGCGAGATTGGTATTGATTGGAGATGTTACGAATTGCAGACACTCGAAAAATAATCAGTTTTAGGTAAAAATAGTCTTTTTACCTAACAAGTTAGCGATGCGCGAAGAGGAATATGACAGAAGAGTGTGATGAAGGTGTGAATAGGATCTACAGTTGAAGAAAGAAAGTCATCAATAGACATCAGAATAAGGGAAGGGGGAAAGTACAGATCCTTGGGGAACACCA